TAAGTTTAAAAAAATTAAAAATAAAATTAAAAAAAAAAAAAGATGAGCTGATTGGTGTGGTGAACTTAGAGCGGGGCCCACAGTGAGCTAAGAGTGTCAGCTGCTGTCCTAAAAATTGCAATTCTCGGGGCGCCTGGGGGGTTCAGTCAGTTAAGCTTCTGACTCTTGACTTTGGCTCAGGTCCTAATCTCATGGTTCATGAGCCCAAGCCCTGCGTCAGGCTCTGTGCTGAGCACTGGAGCCTGCTTGCTCATCTAGGAAATGGGGCAGCGACAGTGCTGACATCCATTATGAGTTAGCAAGTACGAAGCAAACACACGTCCATATGAAAACGTGTGCGCAGATGCTCACAGCAGCACTAGTCACCAGGGCCAAGTGTGGAAACAATGCACACGTGCACCGATCCATAACATGAAGAAACCAGATGTGGTATGTGCACACCCTGGAATACTATTCAGGTGCAAGGCAGAATGAAGTTCTGACACGTACTACGATGTGGATGGACCTTGAAAACATCACGCTGAGGGACAGCATATAGACACAAAAGGCCATGATGTAGTGTATCACTGCATTTATCAGAAATATCCAGAACAGAGAAACCCAGACAGACAGAGCAGATTAGTGGTTGCCTGAGGCTGGGAGGAGGGGTGTGGGGAGTGGGTGCTTTGGTACAGGGCTTCCATTAGGGGTGATGGGAATGTTCTGGAACTAGATACACATGATGGCTGTGCAGCATGATGAATGGACTACAACTCACTTAATAGTAGACTTTAAAATCGTCATTTTGATGAAAGGTCAACCTCATTTGACAAAATAACAACACCCCCCACCCCCAAAATCATATAAAGCACTTGGAACACGGTGCGGCCTTGAATAGGCACTCAGTAAACATTAGGTTGATTAATAAATACCAATCAGTGCACGGTTTTTGTTTTCTTCATTGTAACAAGGTATCGGACTCCCTTTTTTTTTTTTTTTTTTGAGAGCCAGCGAGAGAGAGTGCAGGAGCAGGGGAAAGGGGCAGAGGGGGAGAGAGAATCTTAAGCAGGCTCCTCGCCCAGAGTGGAGCCCGACACAGGGCTCAATCTCATGACTGTGCAATCATGACCTGAACTGAAATCAAGAGTCAGACGCTTAACCGACTGAGCCACCAGGGCGCCCCGGACTTCTTTTTTTAATCTTTGACTACTGCCAGCTTCCAAGCCCGGCCCTGCCTCTTCCGCTCCCCGCCCCACATCTGGGCAGGCTGATAAGAAAGCCAGGGGCTCCCTTCTGTGGTGCTGGTGGGAGAGGCGAATCACATGAGGCCCCGGCCCCTGTGCGGGGAACCCTCGCCCGGGCCTCACCCTTTAACCAAACAAAAACCCCGAGCAGGCACCTTTCCTTCCTGGTTCAGAGCGGTTCAGAGCCGCTCTCAAGCAATTAGCCTTTTGCATTCTCTTGGTCTGTGTCACTCTTAACAATCAAATCAAATTGGTTTTTTTTGGGGGGGGGGTTCCATGCTATCTCTGCAGGGTTGATAGAACACTCATCATCGTCCTCATCATTCACCCTCACTGGGCCTGAGCTCCCATATGACAGAGGTGGACACGGAACGGGAGGGGGGTGCCTTGTTACACGGGGCACAGAATTCCCAGATGTCCCCATCACCTTTTAGCCTCCTGAACACGCTTACTCTACCTGCGCAGCCCCTGCAGGTGGGTAGGTTTGCAATCCCAAGCCTAAGAGAAAGCTGTCTAGAGGCAGGTGGGCAGCTGGGATATGGCTCTCATTTCCATTCTCGGAAAGGGGGTCCCCGCCCCTCGCCCTGGCTCAGAGATGCCCCTGCCAGACCCAGCACCCGCCGGCCAGTGGACAGCATACCTTTATAGAGAATGCCCTGGCTGTCCCTGGTCTGGAGGGATCCCAGTTTCCAGTATCGCCCATTCTTGTCTGTCACCACCGTCCCTGTGGGCAAAGCCTCAAGCGAGGTTGTCACCCGGCTCCGCTTCAGGGTCTGAGGGCTTTGCCTGGTCGCCTGTGGGCTGCTTTTGGGGGTTGGGGGTCTGCTCCAGGACCCTGCAGGAAGATAGTCACAATAAGGAAAAAGCAGCAACAGGGAGAGACAAGTTGGATGGGTAATGGGACAATGCTCATCATAGGGTTCGTTTATTCATTTGTTCTTTCAACAAATGCTTCCTGGGACCTTTCATGAGTCAGGCCCTTGTGCGAAAAAGCTGGGGACCCAGACACGAGTCAGACCTGGGCCCTTCCCTCAGGAGCCCCTAATTTGGTGGGGGAGTCTGATCTGGACACCGTCAGTCAGAACTGAGTCCAAAACAGGACAATACAGAGGGATAAGAGAGAGAAACTGATACCGCCTAGAGAAGTCAAGAGAGGCTTCCTGGAGGAGGGGATGTTTGAGTTGGGTCTTGTCGGATGAAGAGAAGTTTACTGAGGGGAAAAAAGACCTTCCAGACATTCGACCAAAAATATCCTGAAACAGGACCTGGCCACCCTGTGCTGAATATAAAGAGTCAGAAATTTGTTAGACAGAGGCCCTGCCCTTGAGAGGCTCCCAGACTGGCAAGAGAATGGGGGGCAATGGGGAGGAGAGAGACAACGACACAAGAAGAGATATTATCTACTCCATTCTTCCCACCCACCATCCACCCAAGGCGTAGAATGGCAAGAGGCAGAGGGGCCTGGAGACAACAAGGGGCAGAGGGGAGGCACTGGGGGCTGTGACTTTAGATCCAAGGGCCCACTAGGAAGGAGAGGGTACACGGTCCTCAAGACTCCCAGGCTCGTCGGCTGGCTCCAGGCCTATGCACATGAGTCTACCTGGTCCCTGCCCACACAGGACTCTCAGTCTAGCAAGTGAGGCAGAAAGGGCCATGGAGCCTGGAGGAGACATGTGCTCAAATGAGGGTGTCACTGGCATTGGGGGCTAAGAGGGCAAAGAGAGGGAGACGAGGCAGCCTTGATCTAGCCTGTGGTGCTCAGGAAAGGCTTCCTAGAGAGCTGCCCCTCGATGCCAGGATGAAGAGCTGGGGCTGGAGGGGCGATAGGAGGCAGGAGGCTATGCACAGGTGGGAACAGGGGCGGCTCTGGCTGTGTGTAGATGGACTGGAGGCTAGGGATGCTGCAGTGAGGGTCCAGGCGGGGTAGGGGATGCCCGGGCAGGGGAAGGATGCCCCAAATACTGTCCGGTGACCCACCTTTTCCCCGTCTAGTCAGGCCAGGTTGACCCCGACTCTCACCTTTGGGTCTCTCGCAGGGTCTCAAGGTATCTTCAGACCCAGAACTGTCACCATCAGAGAAGACGGATGACGAGGAAGAGGTGACAGTGCTAGACCATCTCACTTTCTTGGAAGAGCTTTCAGAACTGGTGTTCCTCTTTCTCTTTGAGCCTGGAGAAAGGAAGACAGGATGCAGACTGAAATTACAAAGGCCTTTTCCAGGGAACCCTAAACTGGAAAACCCTGAGGGCACATTCAACCACTCTCTTCCCGCCGATCCCCAGAGCCAAACCTCGCTTGTTCGGTCACCTAAATACCTAAGCAAACTATCCCTTCATTTTATTTTTTTCCTCCTCTCTTTTATTTTTTTGTGTTTATTTATTTTGAGAGAGAGAATGCACTGTGCGCGAGCAGGGCAGGGGCAGAGAGAGAGAGGGGGAGAGAGAGTCCCAAGCAGGCTCTGCCCTGTTAGCACAGGGCTGGACGTGGGGCTTGATCCTGCTAACCACGAGCCGCAATCAAGAGCCGGATGCTCCACTGACCAAGCCAGCCAGGCACCCCCTGAGTTGTCAACTTGAAAACCCAGGGGCCGATCAGATGCCAGGAAACTGAGTGTAGACAGAGTCTGAGTCCTGGGCAGCCCCAGGATCAATGCCGGGTCAGACAGGCTGCAAAGGTTTCCGGCCTTCCTCCCCCGAAGCATGCACACATGCACTCGTCACCCCTCAAAGGGCTGGTTCTTACCTCGGAAGGATGACGTAAGCGGACTGACAGAGGTCTGGCACCCTTCATGCTCCTCCACAGGCAAAGGTTTCCCACAGTAGGGGCAGAATTTGAATGTCGCTTCGATATTTTTGCCACAGTTTGGACAGAAAGTGATCATGCTAGAAAACAAAAGGTGGGGGAGGGAACAGGGAGCTGAAAGCAAAACTTCACCCACTGCCAGTGAGTAGTTCATCTGCGCTCCCCCTGGTGACAACATTGCAAAAGGGAGAAAAGTTACTACATTGGAATATACTCTCTTAGGAAGTGACCACTTCTATTTTTTTTTTTAACGTATTTATTTATTTAGAGAGAGAATGGGGAAGGGGCAGAGAGAGAGGGAGAGAGAGAATCCCAAGCAGACTCTGTGCTACCAGCGCAGAGCCTGACGCGGGGCTTGATCTCACGAACCGTGAGATCATGACCTGAGCTGAAACCAAGAGTTGGGCGCTTCCCCAGGAAGTGGACACTTCTAAAACAAATTCCCCCCCCCACCCCCGCCACTGCATCCAGCTTCTAGCCACCCATCTCTCCCCTAATGGCCCAGGGCAGGTCAAAAGCAGAAAAATGCAATGCGAAACTGCAGGTTTCACAGAAGATACGGGAATTCCTTGGAGTCCATGAAAGTTACGCGCAGAACCGCTCAGGTCACTGAAGCACTGAGGGTCTTCCCCTGTACTTCCGATGTTTGTTTCTTGAAACACACAATCGGTTTGGGAGAGACCGTGAATGCTCACCAAATATCCACGTGCTCCCCTACCCTTCCCGGGGGTCCCCTGCGGTTACACCGGGGCCACATAACTAATCCTGGTTAATGGCGTGTGAGTGGAAGTCAATTCCCAGCTGAGGCAGTTAAGAGCCAGAGGACCCCCTCCATCCACCCCTTCTCAGCACGCATGGCCCCGGAGGCCGCATCACTCCCCTGGCATAGCTACAAGATGAAGGAGGGCTGTCGGGTCCACGCTGGAATCTCATGATCAGTGAATAAATACACGTTGCATTAAGCCCCAAGGACCGTAGCATCCGCTACTGCAAACAGCCTGTCTTATCCTGACTTAGTGAGACACAGGTGTTGACATTATCCTTTAGGCTTTGTGTGTCTCTGGGATATTTCCTAACACTTGTAAAAATCAAAACCAAAGGTACACACAGAGCCTATTAAAAAGGAGGACACATAGGGGCGCCTGGGTGGCGCAGTCGGTTAAGCGTCCGACTTCAGCCAGGTCACGATCTCGCAGTCCGTGAGTTCGAGCCCCGCGTCAGGCTCTGGGCTGATGGCTCGGAGCCTGGAGCCTGTTTCCGATTCTGTGTCTCCCTCTCTCTCTGCCCCTCCCCCGTTCGTGCTCTGTCTCTCTCTGTCCCAAAAATAAATAAACTTTGAAAAAAAAAATTTAAAAAAAAAAAAAGGAGGACACGGCAGGTGTATTCGTCTGCTCGGGCTGCTGTACCCAAACACCACTGCCTGCGGGGTTTGAACCACAGAATTTATTTCCTCAGAACTCTGGAGGCCAGAAGTCGGAGATCAAGGTGTGAGCAAGGCCGGTTTCTTCTGGGGCCTCTCTCCTTGGCTCACAGATGGCTGCCTTCTGTGTTCACATGGCCGTCCCCCTGACGGCGTTCCAATCTCTTCTTGTAAGGAACCAGTCATATGGGATTAGGGCCCCACTTTGGTCTGTTTGGGCTGTGATATTGAAATATGACAGACTGCGTGGCTTATGAAAAACAGAAACTTATTCCTCAGAGTTCTGGAGACTAGGAGGTCCGAGGTTAAAATGCCACCATGGTTGAGTTCTGGTGAAGGCCTTTGGGGGTCCAGACTGACAATTTTTCCTCAGTCCCCACATGGTGGAAGGGGCTAGGGAGCTATCTGGGGTCTCCTTCAAAAGAATACTGATCCCATTAGTGACGGTTCTACCCTCATGACCTACCCTCCTCCCCAAAAGCTCCCCTCCCTAATACCATCACATTGGGCATTAGCATTTCAAAATATGCGTTTTGGGGGAGGGGGACACAAACATTCAGACCGCGGCTGGCCTACCCTAACAACACCGTTTTAACTTAATTACCTCTTTAAAAGCCCTATCTCCAAATATGGCCACATTCTGAGGTACTCAGGGTCAGGGTTTCCACATGATGGAATTCTGAGGGACACAAGTCAACCCATAAAAACAGGATTAAACTAGTTAAGCGAAGAAGAGAAAATCAACAAGAATGCCAGTGCTATGGGTACTTCAAGTAGATATATTTTACTTTTTTTTTTTAATTTATTGTTTTTTTTTCTTATTTTAAGTAAACCCTACACCACACGAGACTCGAACTCATGACCTCGAGATTAAGAGTCACGTGCTCTACCAACTGAGCCAGCCAGGTGCCCCTCAAGTAGATATATTTTATTTTACTTATTTTTTAAGTAGATGTATTTTATTTGTTTATTTATTTATATACTTTAAACTTTTTAAAAAATGTTTAATTTTAGAGACAGAGACAGAGCACAAGCGGGGGAGGGGCAGAGAGGGAAGGAGACACAGAATCCCAAGCAGGCTCCAGGCTCTGATCTCTTAGCACAGAGCCCGAGGTGGGGCTCGAACTCATGGACTGGACCGGGAGATCATGACCTGAGCGAAGTCGGAGGCTTAACCGACTGAGCCACCCAGGTGTCCCTATTTATAAATCTCAAATAGCAAAAGAAAGTAAGATTATTTCCTTCGCCCTTTATTGTAAGACTTGGCATACAGTACTGATTACCAACCGGCTATGGAAACACAAGCCAAAGTAAGTTTGCTCGTGACTTCATGTCACCTCGCAAGAGAAAGTTCTCTCCTCTTTTATTTTTGACAAACAAAAATTGTACATATGTGGGGCGTACCACACAATGTGTTGCAATTTGTCCATATTGTGAAATGGTTACCACAACTGCCTGATTAACATATCCGTGACCGCCCATAGCTGCCACTATTTTTGTGTGGGTGGTGAGGACCCTTGAGATCCATTTTCTTAGCAAATTTCAGGTATTTGATACATTATCATTGACTACAGTCGCTATGGTCTCCAGAATTTGTTAATCATAACTGAGTTTGTCCCCTCCCCAACACTTTCTTTTAAAAGTAGGCCCCACGCCCAACGTGGGGCTCGAACTCACGACCCTGCGATCAAGAGTCATCTGCTTTTCCAACTGAAGCCAGCCAGATGCCCTGAAAGTCTGTCCCCTGTGATCAATATCTTTTTCCCCACAGCCTCTGGTAACCACCATTCTACTCTCTGTTACTAGGAGTTTGGCTTTTTTTTTTTTTTCTTAGATTCCACCTAGAAGTGAGATCATGCCATAACTATCTTTTTGTGTCTGGGTCAGTCTGATCAAACCCCTTTTCCCGTATTCACCGCAGAGCTTGGTGTCTGTTGCACCTGTAAACAGGAGAGTCCTTAAAGTCTGGCTCTGGCTCCAGGCTCCTGGATTTCGGTTCCATATCCGCTACATGCTGGGCATGTTACTTACCCTCTCTGTGCCCCAGTCTGCCCAATGGTAAAATGCGGCTTCTAACAGTACTTTTTTTGACCGCTAGAGTAGTTGCTGGGGCCTAAATGAATACATTTATACCAAGCGCTGAGAACAGGGCCTGGCCCCCGGAAAGCCTTTTATGTTAGTGGCTCTTATGACCGGATCATGCCCCGTATCCAATTTACATTCCAGTTGTCAGTCCTTCTCTTCTGCCCCTTCCCTTTCCGGAAGTTCCGCGCCTCCCAGGCTTCTCCATTTCCACTTGGTGCTGACTTATGGACTTCCAGTGCTTGCCCTTGAAAGTCACAGGCCGTCCAAAGAGCTCAGGAAAGAAATCGCAGCCAGAGGAGATGAGGGTTGTGCTTCCCCTTGGTCTGCAGAAGACCAGAAACCACACTGTGGTAGAAAACTGCCTTTCCTTCAACTCCCACCAAGGAGCTGTGTACGATGTCAGACCGCAAAGGCTGTTGCCAAGTGTCTTTTAAGGAAACCTGTAGGTTGGTTGTGGCACTTAATTTGTTGTCCTGGTTGACATCTGAATGGACAGATCTCTCTTCTCGAAGGGATAAATATGGGTGAGCATTTTTGGTAAGCTAGAGGAGTCACTCCTCTTCTCGCTTCAGGCCACTGCACACCTGAAGCCCTTCTGGTGACGTTGGAGCCACAAGATCAAAATGGCCTGGAGGGCGGCTACCCTGAAGAGTGGTTCCAGGCTTTGTATCCATGAGAAACTTGAATTTGGGTTCAGCCACTGAGATATGGGGGCTGCTGCTAATGCAGCATAGTCTGGCCTCATCTGACTAGCAAACTAAGACTTTAGTTTTGTTTTGTTTTTTAATTTATTTATTCTGAGAGAGACAGCATGCACGCACATGAGCAGGGGAAGGGCAGAGAGAGAAGGAGAGAGAGAGAATCTAAGCAGGCTCCCTGCTGTCAGCACAGAGTCCAACACGGGGCACGAACTCACAAACTGTGAGATCACGACCTGAGCTGAAATCAGGAGTCAGACGCTTAACCGACTGAGCCACCCAGGCACCCCTAAGACTTGGCAGTTTTTTTGTTTTTTGGGGTTTTTCTGGCTTTACAGTGTTAAGTGGTTTTGCCTTAAGTGGAGTTTTCCCTCCGTGCCAAGTGCCCTTGGCTAAAGATGGCCTCTAGGATGGGGCAAGCACCTAATCCAGTGACCCTGTCACATCCATGATAACTTTCCTCCTGGGAGTGAAGTCTGACAGCAGCAACACAGAGGAGGCGGAACAGGAGCAGGCTGTTGGTGGGGAATAAGCTATAAGGGGGCCTGTCCCTGAGGGGATGGTACCTTAATGGGGTCACAGTCTGGCCTTCAGATTCCCTGGGCTGGAAACTCCATCTTAGAAGAGTCCTGTAAGTGAATAAAAGTGGAGAGGTTGACTCGGGCCCATTTCACATATAAGTGAAAGATAATGGTTAATGTTTACTGATCACCGGCTATGTAGCCCGCAAGTACTAAGTTCATTCACTCACTCAATAATCACTCACCGAACTCCTAATATGTGCTAACCACTGGGGATACAGCAGCAAAGGAAACAAACGAGGCCCTTGACCTGAGGAAGCTCACATTCTAGTGGCAGAGGATGAGATTAATAAACAAATGAGCAACTGTTTAATAGGTCAGATGGAGGTAGTGTTACAGTAAACGCTCAATAAATATGGATGGAAGAAGGCAGTTTCACAGTAAAGTCACCTGTCCAAGGTCACATGGCTAGTTCAGGACTTAAACCCAAGGCTCCAACGCTCAGGCCAGTCTTTATCATCCATTCACCCGTTTATTTTATTTGTTCAACCAATATTTACTGAACATTTGCTATCTGTTAAGAATTGCGTCCCTCCTAGGAGGTTCTCAGCCATTGTACAGCAAAAGAGCTAAAGGCTACTAGACTCCATCCACCTCAGGGAAGGAGGGACAGTCTTCTGGATGACCACGACTCGCCTAGGCCCCGCCCTCCCAAAAAATCGGGCATGACGTCGTGTCCAGACAGGACGGCCGACAAGCTCCCTATGAGCCCCGCCCATCTCCGTCGTAGCCACACCCGCCAAGACCCCACAGGGGCCTGAGAGGGCTGCAAGGACAGATCAGTAATCGCGGCGACAAGAAGCTTCTTTCATAGAGACCCCCAGCCCGGGGGCCTCCGTCTCCCACAAAGGGTCGTGCTGACGTCACAGGCAGCACGACCGAACTGTGGTCACTGCATCAGGAGACCTCTCCCTTCTCCGCCTCACTTTCCCCCCACCTCTGGACTTCGTGAGCGGGGTTGGGAGCCAGGTATCTGCGGCCAGATTCTCCGACCCTTCGCGGAAGTAGGACTCACCTTCTTAGTTGTCCCGCGTAAACTTCCGGGAGGCGGAAAGCGCTGCGCGCGCATCCTCGACCCGAGGAAGGACAGCGCCCGCGCAGGCGCTGCTGGCCTCCGGACTGCCCTCGGGCAGTGACCGGGAGGGATTATTTCCTCATCGCCCACCCCCATTCCACCCTCTTTTGGAGGGTTTCTGGTTCTACTGCGCATGTGCCAACGTGACCCAATGGTAAGGAGGAGTGAACTATGAAGCATCTCTCCGCCTATCAGAGAGAAGTCTTGTAATTTTCCCGCCTCAAACTCCGCCCCTTGCTTCCAAGCGTCTTTTCAGGAATTTCCGCCTCAACGCGTTTCCATGGCAACCCGCCGTCTGCTTCAAACCAGAGTACGCTGCTTAGCTTGTCCTTTAACTGGGTAAAAACTGGACTGCAATTCCCACATGCTACCTGGTCCCGATTTTGTTTCTACTCTCTTTCCTCCAGTGCTCAGCGGCCAGAGAAGAGGGCGGGGAAAGAAACACAGATAAGCGGAGATAGGCGTCAGCACAGCCTTCTGGGAAACCGAGTCCCGTTGGCGCGGAGGCTCCTGGGTGGAGGAGCTCGAGGAAGTTCTCGCGGCGCCGGAAGTTGTTACAAGGCGCGAGTGGGAGGAGTTGGGTCTGCGTCTTCCTCGGGGCGGGAGTCGCTTCTGTTAACGCGACGGACGGCAGTCTTGAGAGGTGAGGCGACGCCGCAGGTGGGGTCACTGAGTACTCCCAAGGCTTGGGGGCTCGGTTCTTCTTGAGGGGTGACGGAATGCCCACGGGGTGACTTCGGCAAAGGGCGCGCCTTCTGGGGGCGGTGGGTGTCCAGGTGGGGTCTTGACCGCTCTCTGTTCGGAGCGTGTTCTGGGCCGGGCTGTCGCTGAAATGGTTTCCAGTCCTCACCGGCAGCCCTGAGAGGAGAGGTTACATTTACTTTTGAGTGAGGAGATGGAAGCCGAAGGAGGGGTTCGGTTGCCTGAAGTTGATCGGGCAGATCTGGAGGGATGAATGAATGGGAGTTCTTGAGAAGGGCGAAGCATTTCACATTTGAGCACTTGCTGGGCGCCAGGCGCCGCGCTGTACTCGGATTTCCTCCTGTAATCTCCGCAGCAGCGCCAAGCGCGGTTCCTCGGTTTTATCGGCTCCCTTGGCACCGGGAGCACTTCGGGAATCACAGTTTATCAGAGTTTGGAAAGTTAATAGGGTGCCTATTTCATAGTTAGGCAACGCCTCAGAGCGATCTGGGGCAGTTCTTGGAAATCGATTATTTCTGCCCGGGGAAAGGCGTGAATATTCACACTATATACAGCCTGTGGCAGTTCGGGTTCAGTTTTGCCGCCAATTTACGAATGAATAAGGTTCTGCTTTTCAGAGCTGTTTTGGTTTTTAGAATTACAGCTGCGGGGCTGTGGATCTGTTTTACTTGTCCCATTTCGTACACGTGGAAACCAAGGGTGAATGATCTGCTCTGGTCCCACACTAAGAAGCAGCAAGAGTTCTCAATTCTAGAGCGCTGGATTTGCCAGTCCTGTAATTGTTTGGCTCAAGTTCATTCTGAGAGGCTGGGTGACCTTGAGCCTCACAGTAGGGCTCCAGTTTGTTCTGTCCCAGGGCTCAGAGTGTATGAGATACGGACAGAACGTGATTTGGAAACTGTAGACAGAGGTCCGAAATTCAGATGTCTATGAGGGTGAGGCAGATTAGGTAAAAGAGAGAACTTAACATACAAGTGGGGGGGGGGCGGAGAGCTGTGGGGCATCAGGGAGCACTTGCCCCACTTAAGGGTGGTAACTTTAGGCCCCAGCTAACAGCCTTGTTAGACTCGGTGAGCCAAATCCTAGAATTTGGCAGAAACTGGAAATCGTTTGTTTTTTTTTTTCATTTTTATTTATTTTAGAGAGAGTGGGGGGGGGGGGGGGGGAGGGGGAGAGTCTTAAGCAGGCCCCATGCTCAATTTCCCAGTTTTCAAGGTTGAGACTACTTAAAATAATTTTCTCTCAAAACCTGCTATCCACCAGCACTGTGAGCAAAAAACCATATCTGTGGACCAAATTACACCCTCAAGGCGAGACTTAACCTCTGTCATGTGAGGAAAGTCACTGTTGAGTAAACGTTAGCACTTAACACGTCTGCCACATCACCTTACCTGCAATCAAAATCTGGAAAGCCCGGAAGATCACTTTTTCCAGAAGTTTGGTGTCCAAGACCTGACCAGAACTACTGGGATTTATAACCTCTCATTATCCTACCTAGAGAGAATATCTATACCCTTCACTCTAAAAATATTGAGGTGTTCAAGTACAAAATGCTGCCTGGCCCACACTGCACTGTGATTTTATTTTATTATTTTTTTTAATAAGGTTTTTTTTTTTTTAATCTTTGAGACACAGAGAGAGAGACAGAGCATGAGCGGGGGAGGGGCAGAGAGAGAGGGAGACACGGAATCTGAAGCAGGCTCCAGGCTCTGAGCTGTCAGCACAGAGCCCGACGCGGGGCTCGAACCCACGAAACGTGAGATCATGACCTGAGCTGAAGTCTGCCGCCGACCGACTGAGTTACCCAGAAGCCCCCACACTGCACTGTGATTTTAATGAAATATATTTGTGTGTGTGTGTGTGTGTGTGTGTGTGTGTGTGTGTATCACCTTTTTAAAAATCAGAAAATTTCTTGGGGTGTCTGGGTGGCCCAGTCAGTTTAGTGTCCAACTTCGGCTCAGGTCATGATCTCATTTTTGTGAGTTGGAGCCCTGCATCGGGCTCTGCTGACAGCTCAGAGCCTGGAGCCTGCTTCCGATTCTGTGTCTCCAGCTCCCTCTGCCCCTCCCCATGTGCTGCAGCGCTCTCTTTCTCTCTGTCTGTCTCCCCCTCTCTCTCAGAAATGAATAAACATTAAAAAAATTTTTTAATAGGGGCGCCTGGGTGGCGCGGTGATTAAGCGTCCACTTCAGCCAGGTCACAATCTCGCCGGTCCGTGAGTTCTGAGCCCCGGCCAGGCTCTGGGCTGATGGCTCAGAGCCTGAGCCTGTTCATCGATTCTGTGTCTCCCTCTCTCTGCCCCTCCTCCCCGTTCATGTCTGTCTCTCTGTCCCAAAAAATAAGCGTTGGAAAAAAAAATTTTTTTTAATAAAAATCAGAAAATTTCTGAATTTCAAAGCACATCTGTCCCTAGAAGCTTAACAGTTGTGGACCTGACGTTAAATCATCCTGCTGCTTTGTGATACGGAGTGTTTTCATCACTCTGTAGATAATGTGCCACTTAGGAAATTCACAGTAGCTACCAACGTGTAAGAAGCCCTATGGTACAGGGCACCTGGGTGGCTCAGTTGGTTGAATGTCCGACTTCAGCTCAGGTCTTTGGAGCCCTACATCAGGCTCTGTGCTGACAACTCAGCCCGCTTTGCCCCTCCCCACTCTCACACACGCATGCTCTCTCTCTCTCTCTCAAAATAAATATTAAAAAAAAAAAAAGGCCCCATGGTACAGTGTTTTATATATTTGGGTCATGAAAATAACTCACTGGGCAGTGGCCATAATTTTTTTTTAATGTTTATTTGTTTAGAGAAGGCACATGTAGAGGAGTGGCAGGGAGGGAGGGAGATCGAGAATCCCAAGCAGACTCCAAGTTGTCAGCACAGAGCCCAGTGCAGGACTCGATCTCACAAACTGTGAAATCATGACCTTAGCCGTGAGCAAGAGTCAGACGCTTAACCGAGTGAGCCACCCAGGTGTCCTGGCCATAATTTTTTTTTTTTTTTAAATGAAGTACAGTGAAAGAGACTAGAATAGAAAAGATCCTAGCACATTCTACTTTGTAAGATTCAGTATTATTTCGTGAAGTTTTGTTTTCGTTTTGTGTGTGAATGGACAGTCATGGTATATGTCTTTGTTACTGTGGGTCATGTTTAAAAAAAAAAAAAGTTGGAGGAATCTTGCTACTGTTGAAAAAATAGTAAAACTTTTGGAGGCCAGCTCACCTGGACTCAAATTCTAGAGCCAGTAATCAGGAATCCCAGAATCCTGGGGCGCCTGGGGTGGCTCAGTCGGCCGGGCGTCCGACTTCGGCTCAGGTCATGATCTCACAGTTCACGAGTTCGAGCCCCACGTTGGCCTCTGCTGACAGCTAGGAGCCTGGAGCCTGCTTCGGATTCTGCGTCTCCTTCTCTTTGCCTTTTTCTCTCTCGAAAATAAATAAACGTTAAAAAAAAGAAAAAGAACCCAGAATCCTCATCCCGGGGGTTCAGTTGGAGAGACACTGTGTTCTGTCAACAAACGTTCCAAAAGCGCCTACTGTACGTCAGGGGTCGTGTCATGCTGAGACACGGTCGCGAGCAAGACCGAAGGTCCCACCCAGGTGACCGACCTTAATCGCCACCTCTCCCAAACATTGATTTATTGACTATAATAAGTGCCAAGAAGGGTCATGAAGTTGCCTGTGGGCCCCGAAGCACAGTGGAAATGAGGGGCGTGGAGTAGTTTCGGCCGATACAGAAGTGTTGTTGTGATCCCCGCAGGGAGACTCCCATCCTGACTCATCCTCCTACTTCCGGACATTCTGGGGGCTCATCCGGCATGGCCAGGGAGCCAGCCCTAGAAGGAAGGGAGACTTTCTCCCGGCTCCCTTGTGTCTCCTGCGGCTCTGCCAGACAGGAACATGGAGGGGATGGAGAGGGATCTTAAGTGAGAACTCCGGCCACCGAGTCCCAGTCGGCTACCACCAAGGTGAGTCGAGGGCCCCTTGTCCAGGCCCCATGCCCTGAGGCTGCATGGCCAGCCAGCCTTTATTCTGGGCTCACTGACCCACGGTGACCCCCAGGTGATCCTCTTGTTACGCTGTCGCTCTCCTGCTCAGCACCCTTCCAGGCATCCTTTCTGCTTAGAAGATCAAACCCAGGTTTCCCAGCCCCGTCCTGCACGACCTGAGTCCTGCCGCCTTCCTCAGCGTCTCCTCCGGTTCCCTCCATAACCCAAACTCCCTTCCTGGCCTGGTGGTAAACTGTTACACTGTGGTTGTCAGATTCCCAGCCTTTGCTCGGGCTCCTCCCTCTGCTAGAATACCCTACCCGCCATCTCCGGCCGGTCTTACGCAGCCTTCAAGACCCAGCTCAGCCCCCACCTTGCGTGGGCAGTGAGCTCTTCCCTGCTCCGGCCTCATCATAGCACAAATCACCTGGCTGTGGTTGTCCCCTGCCCCCGTCTGTCAGCCCCACCAGACGAGGTGCTCCTTGGAGACAGGTACTGATTGGGCCTCGCCTCTGGGCCCCCAGGGACCAGCGTGGGCCCAGTACACAGCGGTCCTTGAGGTGTTTCTTGAATGATGAATGAAAACCTTCCTCTACCACCGATACCTGCTTATCCTTAATGACCCAACTTGAATATCTGCCCCAACCAGGAAGCTTTTCCTGACTCCAAGGCAACGTCCTCATGCCCGTCCCTGGCCACACAGTCCTGGATACTGCCCTCTGTCACAGCCCTATCTCCTTATGCTCACTGTCAGCATCCCTGGGTGTCCCCTGTAGGCCAGGGAATGGGTTTGACACCTCTCTGCCTCCAGCATCCTCAGAGGGGTCTGGCACACGGGAGAAATGACTGTTGAACGAATACATGCTCTGACCTTGTCACTGTCCTGTATAAAACTCTCTGTGGCTCCCCAGTGCCCCACGGATCAAGTCCAGGGTCCTCCCACACCCCCACCGCTATTTCCAGCAAAATCAAGGAGTCCAGGGAAGGAAGCTTCTTGGGGCTCTCTGATCTGGCTCCTGCTGACAAAGCCTCTTTGGCTGATCCCTTCTGACCGGGTATAGACAGCAACAGTTTCAGCCACAAGTAACAGAACACTTGGCTCAAAGCAATTTAAACAGTCAATGGATTATATAGAACACATAACCAGAAAGGCCAGAGCCGGCTTGATCCGCCAGCCCACTCAGTGTGATCGAGACCCAGTGTATTGTCCCCATCTCTCAGCCCCACCTCCTATTGGTTCCATCCTTGATGAACTCCTTCCCTTGTCCCAAAACAGCTGCCAGGATCACCATGTCCCCACATGCCTCCTACATGAAGGCTTTGTTCTGGGTGCTGGGTCTACTCGCTAGGGAACCAACTGATGTGGTCCCTGCCGTCATGAGCTCACATGTTATTGGCGGGGTAACACCGTATTTGTTTGCTAGGGCTGTTGTAACAAAGTGCCTTGAATGATAGAAATTTATTATCTTGGCTCTGGAGGCTAGAAGTATGAAGCCAAGGTGTCAGCTGGGCTCCTTCCTTTTGGAGGCTGCAGGGGAGAACCCCTTCCTTGCCTCTTCAGCTTCTAGAGATGCCTGTGTTCCTTGACTCGTGGCCACGTCACTCCGACCTCTGCTTCTGTCATCACATCACCTTCTCCTACCTTCGACTCCTTCTGTCTCATTTTTTTTCTAAATATTTATTTTATTTATTTATTTATTTATTTTTAACGTTTATTTATTTTTGAGACAGAGAAAGACAAAGCATGAACGGGAGAGGGTCAGAGAGAGGGAGACAGAATCTGAAACAGGCTCCAGGCTCCAAGCTGTCAGCACAGAGCCCAACACGGGGCTTGAACTCACGGACCGCAAGATCATGACCTGAGCCGAAGTCGGCCGCTCAACCAACTGAGCCACTCAGGCACCCCCTAAATATTTATTTTTGACAGAGTGCACAAGCAGGGTAGGGGCAGAGAGAGAGAGGGAGATACAGAATCCGAAGCAGGCTCCAGGTCCTGAGCTGTCAGCACAGAGCCCGACTTGGGGCTCCAACCCATGTACTGTGAGATCATGACCTGAGCCGAAGTCGGATGGCCGACTGAGCCACCCAGGCACCCCCCTTCTGCCTCTTATAAAGGTATAAGAAAAAAAAAAAAAGATATGAGATTGTCATGATCGTGACAATCAGGGGCCACCGTGATCATCCAGGGTAACCTCCCCATCTGAGGATCCTTAACTTGTCACACCTGGGAAGTCCCTTTTGCCATACAAGGTGACATTCACAGGTTCTGGGGATTAGAATGTGGATGTCTTTGGGGAACCATGATGTCTAAGGTTTAAAAGGGTATCTCGAACTTAACCTGTACCAAACCAGACTCACACTGTGCCCCAAAACCTGCTTCTCCCCTGTCTCAGGCAGCGGCAGCTCTGTCCTTCCAGTGCTCAGGCTAAAATCTTATGGACGTCTGGGCTCCTGTCTGTCTTTCATTACATTTGCTCTCTTGGGAGATGTTGTCCCCAGCAGTGTCAAAATGTCCACATCTTGGGGCACCTGGGTGGCTCAGTCAGTTGAGCGTCCAGCTTTGGCTCAGGTCATGATCTCGCGGTCTGTGAGTTCGAGCCTCACGTCAGGCTCTGTGCTGACAGCTCAGAGCCTGGAGCCTGCTTGGGATTCTGTGTCTCCCTCTCTCTCTGCTCCACCCCCACTTGTGCACACGTGCTCTCTCTCTTTCTCTCCCTCTTTCAAAAATAAATAAACAAACGTTTAAAAAAAAAATGGCCACATCTCACCTTTTCACACCCCTTCCATCCCTGTTCTCCTTTCTCGCCTGAATCATGGAATTCACCTTTTTCCTCGTCTCCCTGCCTCTGCCTTTCCACCTTTTATGTTTTTCCACGTAGTGGCCAGAGGAGGATCCTGGTTAGAATATGCTTAATCAATTTGCTTACTTTTTTAAGAATATTTGTATTGTAAAATCAAGCACAAACATAGAAACCCACGGCGGGTTTCTGTTACGTGCAGATCTCTACTGTGTGTGTTAGAAAATTTCCATAGTAAAAACTTAAAATCTTGAATGAATGCTAAGAAGCAAAAGCCAAAGTAAGTAGATTTTAAGAACAGGCCGACGTGCATTTAAGTCCTGCCTGTGTGACCCTAAGGGGAACGCACGTCCCCTCTCCGAAACTCCATATCTTGCCTACAAAATATGGGGATGCCCGGTGTCCTATGTCTCAGGGCTCCCGCGAGAAGATTTTTGTCAAAGACCTAGTACATGGAGGGCAGGGTGCATCAAGTGAGCCGTTGGGTCCATCGCTGACCCCAGTCCCACGGTCACTGGCAGTGTATTACATTTCAGGAATTTGTGACCCACAGGGATGTAGCCATGGACTTCACCTTGGAGGACTGGGAGCAGCTGGGGCTGGACCAGGGGGACCTGTTCTGGGACACGGCGCTGGACAACTACCAGAACCTTTTCCTGCTGAGTGAGTGTCCACTCCAGCCCCGGCGGCCCGGTCCCTGCCCCGCTTTTGGCTATTGTCACCCACAGGATAAATTCTCGGCTCCTGAACGCCTCAGAGCTGGCATGATGTAGACCAGCAGTGCTCAGCTGGCCAATTCTGCCCCCCCGGGGGCACTGGCAGTGCCTGGTGACCTTTTTGATTGGTTCGCACTTAGGAGCAGGGGGTGTGCACCTGGCGTCTCATGGGTAGAGCCCAGGGTCGCCGCCACATGTCCGGGAATGCAAGGGCAGCCCCTACAGCCGAGGATTATGTCACTAGTGTCACTAGTGCCGAGGCTGAGAAACCCCATCAGCCACCCGCCTGCTGCTCTGGCCTCCTTAGCACTTTCCTCTTCGTCCTTGTGGGGCTGACGCTCAGGGTCTTTGCATTTGCCTTCCTGTCTCGTCCCCTCCCTGCCTCTGGGCTTTCCTTTTTTAAGACTTCTACCGCGACCTGTTAGCGAGTCCTCTGGCCCGTGCCCCACCGGCCCACGACTCCTGCGCTTTCGAACTGCCCATTTTATGCTCTGTCTCCCTCTGCTGGGACGGGCACTTCCTGAGGGCGGGGACTCACTGAATGGTGGCTCAGTAAACGAACGAGTAGCAGGAGTCTCAGGAGCCGGGCGGGTCTCATGCTGGGTCAGCGCTTAGAACTGGCCTTCGGTCCTGCCGTCACCCCACAAGTCCGACTCCCTGTTTTGCTGGTCCTTTTGAAAATGAGGTCCAAAGAGAAGTCACCTTCCCAGCTATGCGGGGGTTCCCGGAAGTACCCTGTGTTCAGTGACTTACGAGGAGGGGACTTGAGGGACTCAGCATGTGGTCGTACTCACGGCCGTGACATGTTACAGAGAAAGGACACAGCATGGGCGGCAAAGGGGAAACCAGAGCCGGCCTCCAGAGCCCTCTCCCTGCGTGGAGTCCCACACGATCGTAATGAGGGACAAATGGTGTGAAATGTCTACTGGAGATGCTCACTGGAAACTCAGCACCCACAGTTTTTATTGGGAGCTGGTCACACAGGCACCCTCTGCCTGGAAAGTACCAAAATTCTAGACTCCCAGCCGGAAAGCAGGTGTTCAGCATGATAATTGAGGCACAGGGGGCCCCTCTGTTCGGGAATGCTGGAACCCTCCCGAGATCCAGGTTCCCAGACACCAGCTGAGGGCCAGCCTCCCAGATTTTTCTCTAAACTCTACTGAGCATGTGCGGCAGAAGCAGCTTCGGGGCGGCTCAGACCTCGGCGTCTTTTCTATTTCTAAACTACATCCCACAGTATAGGCACGTCTCCCTTGAGCCCCCGCACACGCTTGTGTGTATGTCCAAGCAGCGTATTAGCTTCCTACGGCTGCTCTTAGAAATGCCACAAACAGCAGCTTAAAACAACGCGTTTATTCTCCGACGGTTGTGGAGGTCAGAAGTCTGAAACGGGTCTGACCCAGCTGCGGTCAGGCTGTTGGCGGGGCTTGTTCCCTCTGGAAGCTCCGGGGAAGAGTCTTGTGCCTTTGCCCTTTTCTGGCTTCTAGAGGCGCCTGCATTGCTTGGCTCATGGCCCTTCCATTTTCAAGCCAAGAAGGCGCTTTTCCTCCACGGTAGCACAGTTCCCCAGGATTAGGATTCTGCTTCCTTCCTCGAGTAGTTTGCCGAGGGCAGGGCACAGGACCGCCTGGGCTCTGGGAACCCAGCATATTCCACAGAGGCCTTGGGTGATGTGGGCTCCGTGGGTGGATGAGAGGGTGCGTGCCTCTCCACCTGGCAGGCTGCTCATCCCTCAAGAGCTGTCGCAAGTCCTTTGTATCCCCGGCCCTGGCTTTCACAGCTCTGATCACCCTGGGCTGTGACTGTCTGGGTCTCTCTCCTCCACCGGACTGGGAACCCTACGGGGCAGGTGTCCCCGGAGTCGCCCAGAGCGGCATTTGGCTCTCACGAGCTGTACACTGGACAAAGCACTGATGGTCAGGACAGCCAGAAGGTTCCCGCTAAGCAGTCGGCTGGCCTGCCGTGTCCTGGTTGATGACAGCGCTCTTCTCTCCCTGCAGACCCCTGCAAACCCAAACTGACCTCCTGTCCAGATGGTGGCGAAGAGCTGGAGGCCGTGGTCAGAGAAAGCCCAGAATCAGAGGGCCTTGGTGAGTGGGCGGGGCGGGGGCCAGTGGGACAGGGCCCTTTGTCTGCCCTCCGTCTTTGGAACTTCCATCCAGACCCCAAACGTCTGCCTAGACATCTTGCCCCTCTGCCACGTGCTGGCTTCTGTCCCCTCGTCCCGGCAGGGCTGGGGCCCTCGTCTTGTCTACCTCAGTGTTCGGCATGTGGCTGTCCTGGTGCCCTGAGTCAGTCTCTCCACCTTCATGTCCTGTGCCCTTTGAGCACCATACATCCCCAGTCTGTTTCACCCTGTGTTTGTACAAGTCTGTCCCGGAGGGCACAGCAGATGGCCACATCTGCTAATAACTCAAGCCCAGGCCTTAATGCAGCCAAGAGCATTTGTTTCGTTCTCTCCTAGGCCACAGTTCCTCTAGAGGGAACAGGTTAGGCAGCGAGGGTGTCACGCTGGTTGACGTGTCCCCAGTGGGAAAAGGCAGAGGCAGGGGCCTTCCCTGGGGCACAGGACACTTTCCTCACGGTCAGGTCATCAACATGAGAAGGGCCCCTGAGTCAGAGACCACAGCGTGGTGGCTGCGTGGCTCAGTCCGGGCCTCCGCCACCCAGTCAGGATGCAGCTCACCTCTCGTGAGCTCGCAAATGCGGACCCTCCGTGGCCTCCCAACGAGCACACCAGTGTTTGCGCGCAGGTGACCAGCACGGACCCCTGCCACCTCTACAACATATGAAGCCGGTGCTCAGTGGAGGTTAAGGCCAACTTGGAGTTTCGGCTCGGGTCATGATCTCACGGTTTGTGAGTTCAAGCCCCACACTGGGCTCAGTGCTGATAGCGTGGAGCCTGCTTGGGATTCTCTCTCTCCCTCCCTCTCTGTCGCTCCCCTGCTCACTCACGCTTTCTCTCTCTCAAAATAAATAAATAAATAAATACTAAAAAAAGAAATACATGCTCTTTCCAGAACCGCGTAGCCACGCCTTTACCAACCAAATCTGTCCTCCAGCAGTTATATCATTTCTACCTTCTTCCCCGTTGAACAGCGCCCTTCTCCAAGAAGTGGGCGTGGCGGCTGGCGCCTGGGTGGCGCGAGCTCGGTTAGCGTCCGACTTCAGCCAGTCACGATCTCGCTGGTCCGTGAGTTCGAGCCCCGCATCAGGCTCTCTGGGCTGATGGCTCAGGAGCCTGAGCCTGTTTCCCGATTCTGTGTCTCCTCTCTGCCTCTGCCCTCCCCGTTCATGCTCTGTCTCTGTCCCAAAAATAAATAAACGTTGAAAAAAAAAAAAAGAAGTGGGCCGTGGCTGATGGGGGCAACGGCATCTGCTAAGAGGCTCCCCTTCCCTGTGGAGCCCCGCTTGCCCAGCTCCCCTCCTAACCATCTTGGAAATGGCTCTGTTTCCTGTGCTGCCAGTTCCAGCCGGGTCACCACTTTGGCCCCTTCTCCTTCATCATCCCCTCGAGGGACAGGCTTCCTGAGGAGCCATCACCCGTTCTCCCTCTTGTCTGTGTTCTCACCCTGCAGCTCCTTATGTTCGCCCTCATTGAGAACGGAGACACCTGCACTTACCTCTCTGGGACATGGCCGAAGTCAAGAACTGCCCTCTGGCACAAGACTTCTTGGAGAAGGACTCTCCCAGGAGATCATGGAGACTTTGTCCAAGGATGGCCTCGGGAACTCCAGTCTGGGGAAAGCCTATGTAGGTGAGAGTTGGTTAGACAGTTTGCTAGGAGATCCAGAAAGCCTTCTGAAGTCTGACGTTGTTACCAACAAGGGAAGTCCCACAGAATGCAGAGTCATGAGCTCATGTAACTCAGAGACTCAGTCCTGAGCCCTCCTTCCGTGGGGAGGGAGGATCAGCCTGTGATCTTCCTGAAAAGAGCCCAGCTAAGTCTCAGGAACGTGGGAAAGACTTTGGCTGTGACTTAGACCAGAGCCAGCAGGATCCTGTCCGGGGAGGCGAGAAACTGTATAAATGTAGTGAATGTGGGGAGAGCTTCAGTCAGAGTTACCATCTCATCCAGCACTGGATTGTTCATACTAAAGAGAAACCCGCTGTGCACGAAGAGTATGAGGAAGGTTGCAGCCAGAGGTCTTGCCTCTTAGTGCCCCTGACAACTCACACAGACTACAAATCCTGTGCGTGTAACGAGGGCGGGAAAACCTGCACTCAGAGCACACACCTTCTGTGGCATCAGCAAATTCACACTGGAGAAGAACCACATAAGAATCAAGACAGTGACCCTCCGTCAGGTCTCAGCTTACAGCCTGCTGAGCAGCAGAAACCCATACAGGTGATGAGTCCTACAAAGGTAACGAGCCTGGCGAGGGTTTCGGCCAAACCTTTCACCTCACCCAGCATCAGAAGACCCACGCTCAGAAACGCTATGAATGTGCCAAATGCAAGGCGACCTTCGACTTCAGCAAATACCTCCTCCAACATCAAAAAACCCATGCTACGAAAACTACCTCTGAGCATCAGGAATGCGGGAAGGCCTTCGGGCAGAGCATGCTGCTCGCTGAACACCAGTCCATTCACACCGGAGAAAAGCCTTACGAGTGTGATCAGTGTGGGAGGCCCTTCAGGAATATCTCGACCCTAAAGGTCCACCAGAGGGTTCACAGTGGAGAGAAGCCTTACAAATGCAATGAGTGTGGGAAATCCTTCTACCGGAGCACTCACCTTAATGAACATCAGAGGATTCACACCGGCTACAGGCCCTACAAGTGTCATCAGTGCATCAAGAGTTTCAGCCGGCCCTCCCACCTGATTCGACACCAGTCTGTTCACGCCACAGGCAAGTCCTACTGCTGTGCCAGATGCAAGAAAACCTTCAGCCATAATGAATACCTTGTTCAACACGAGAAAATGCATGCTATGGAGACCCTCCACGAGTGTCAGGAGTGTGGCGAGCGCTTCTTCTGCAGCTCGACCCTAGCATGCCACCAGAGTGTTCACGCCAGAGAAAAACAAGCACTTGGCGAGAGCGGGAGTATCTTGAGTCAGGACTCAGAATCGAGAGAACATCCAGGGGTTGGCGAGAAGCACTTTAAGTGTAGCAAATGCGAGAAAACCTTCAGCTGCAGCAAATATCTGACTCAGCACGAGAGGGTTCACACCAGAGTGAAACCCTTTGAGTGTGACCAGTGTGGAAAAGCCTTTAGCAAAAGTACACAGCTCCTTCGCCACCAGAACATCCACTCTCGAGTGAGGCCGTATGAATGTGGGGACTGCGGGAAGGCCTTCATCCGCAGCACTTCCCTCACCAAACATCAGGCCACCCACAAGAGTGAGCACCCCTTTACGTGTAATGAATGTGGAAAGACCTTCAGCCAAAGTGCACACCTCTCAGAACATCAGTTAACTCACACTGAGGAGAAGAAACTCTGTAACTATAGCAAGTGTGACAAAGCCCTTGCCCAAGGTAACTGCCTTACTCAGCATCAGAGAACTGACGCCGGAAAGAAGTCCTTTGAGTGTGATGAATGCGACAAATCATTCCATTTGAGTTCGTGCCTTTCTAAGCATCAGAGAGATCACACAGGTGAGAAACCCCACAAATGCAGTGACTGTGAGAAAACCTTCAGCCTGGGTGCTCAACTTCTTCAACACCGGAGAGTTCACACTGGAGAAAAGCCTTATGTTTGTCAGAAATGTGGGAAAGCTTTCAGCCAGAGCTCATGCCTTTCTGTTCACCAGCGAGTTCACACTGGAGAAAAGCCTTATGTTTGTCAGGAATGTGGGAAAGCCTTCAGCCAGAGCTCGTGCCTTTCTGTTCACCGGAGGATTCACACCGGGGAGAAGCCTTACGTGTGTGCTGAATGTGGGAAAGCCTTTTCCCAGAAAGCAAATCTGATGCAGCATGAGAGAGTTCACACTGGGGAGAAGCCTTATGCCTGCAGGGTCTGTGGGAAAGCCTTTAGCCTCAGCGCCCATCTCAGTCAGCACCAGAGGGTCCACACCCAAGAGAAACAGTAGTAATGTCAATATTGTCAGAAAGCCCTCTGATGCAGGTCTCAGCAGACATCAGCAAGTTCATACTTGAAGGTAACAAGGAGTTACTTAGCAGTAAGTGACAAGTAGCAATACTACAAGGTCCCAGCATCAGCAACAGGGTCCCAGACATCTAAACACATTCGTCTGGGCCCCAAGGTTGAAACCATCGCACTGTAGGCTCCTCCGCCACGAAATAAATAAATCTCTTTATTAATAAGGAGCAGTTAGAAAATTTGCACACATGAGTCTCATGAAAACACAGTAGTGGAGAAGCTGTGTAGAATGGCAATTCAGCGGTAGACTTGAGCCAGTCGGCTGAGTTAAACCCCAGCTCTGCCATGTGCTATCCGCGGGGAGAGCCATGGGACTTCCTAGGGCCTCCGTGTCCTCACCTGTAAGATTGGCACAATATGGTTACCTACCTCAGAAGGCTGTTGTGAGGATAAATGAATAGAGATAAAGGTGCACTTAGAACTGAGTGCCCAGCACATAGTAAGTACTTACCAAATGTGAGCTACAAGTACTCACGAGATACAACAAATATATTAAAAAAAAAAAAAAGGAAGAGTTAGCAATCCTCTATTTACTGCAGTTAATGTTCTTACTAATACTATGCACGGCTTTCATTTTTAAAGTTTTTCTTCAAAACGCCTCTGGCTAAATTTGGTCCCCCAAACCCAGCACCTTGCTCTTTTCTTTAAAAAAAAAAAAAAAAAAAAAAAAAAAAGGGCGGGGGCGGAGGGAGACGGGGTGCCTAGGTGGCTCAGTCGGTTGGGCATCTGACCTTGGCGCAGGTCATCTCCCAAGTTCATGGGTTGAGCCTCGTGTCGGCCTCTGTGCTGACAGCTCAGAGCCTGGAGCCTGCTTCGGATTCTGTGTCTCGCTTTCTGTCTGCCCCTCCCCTGCTTGCACTCTGTCTCTCTCAAAAATAAATAACCATTAAAAAATTTTTTTCAGTCTAACTTTTCCTTCCCTCTGCTCTGTCGCAGTATTTTCTTGACTCACCCACAGAAGCCAACAAGAGCATGTAAACTAACACCAAATAGCTAGAACTTTCCACTCCTAACCTCCAGAACGTCTCACTCCAAAGGACGTTCTCCCACATAACACATGCCCCTTCTTCCTGTAATTTCCTTCCCCCGCTTAAAGTTGGATCTGTGGAATGAGACCTAGTGTGTGGTAGGAGTTCCTCGTACTGGAAACCATGGGATTCAGTTGGGAAAGCTGCACTGGATGTTGCCACGCGGTTCCCAGAAGATGTGCTCGATGGTGAAAACTGTGTATGGAAACTACTGGCGGAATGTTCCTCATGCACCGTTTGTCCAAGAGCCAACCACTCACCAGGTGCTCTGCCAGGCTCCGGGGTGGGGAATACCAACACGGCAAGCCCTGGTCTGGCTGCGAAACTCCTGGAATCAAAGGGAAGCGGATGGCCCCATTTCCACAGAGAGGTACTGTTCATTGACAAGTGACATCCTAAAATGCCACATTCCCTCCTGTCACAGCAAGTTCTGGGACCGTGAAGGGTTGCTGGAGAGCCCAGGGAGGGCCCCATCCTTCCTGCTGGAGCCCTCAAGTCGACGGGTCAACCTTGGCCAGGCCTGTTCTACGGCTAAGACGCCACATGGAACCCTGTGCCCTCTTGAGGGCACCTCCTCAGCTCTGGGTTTTTGCGTCCCACCCACTGAGTGACCTCGTCCCATGTCTGCTGAAGCACAAAGAGAACTTTACGAAGACACGCTTTTGATATCATTCATAGTTTTGGTGCTAAAAAAGTTTAGGAGTATGTGCTCTGAGTTCTTGAGTCTTTTAAACCTTGAAACTGGGGTGCCTGGGTGGTTCAGTCAGTTAAGCATCTGACTTTGGCTCAGGTCATGATCTCATGGTTCGTGAGTTCGAGTCTCATATCGGGTAAGCCCACACCCCACTTCTGCTGAGCTCGAGCCCCACTTTGGGTGAGCCCAGCATCTCCCCTCCCCCGTTCTGCCCCTCGCTCACTTGTGCCCACTCCCTTTCAAAAAAAAAAACAAAAAACCTTGCACTTTGAGTTCTGCCGGTTGGTTTTGTTGTTGAAACTGGGAACCTACACGCTCGCCACTGGGCCCACACCACAGCAGGGAGCATATGGGTTTTCAAAGGGCCAAAACACTGAACTCCCTGCACCTGGTCCCTGCCCCCAGATCGCTGTGTAGTCTGGGCGAGACCCATTCTGTACCACAGGGCAGGCCGGAGGCGGGAAACGTGTTCGACGAGAGTTTTGACACCAAAGATGGAGGTCAGGGGTCCTGCGGCAAATTGGGAACGTGGAGGGCGGACTCTGTAACTACTGACCTGTGTAGCTGTGGGCCAGCGTAGAGATGGCTTTTATGTGTATGTGTTTGTTCGCCGATTAAAGTTTTGAGTCTGTATGCGTTGGTTGCTTTTTTCAGCCTGGTGCCGCGTACCTGGCCAGATGCTGGGCGTGCAGAGGCTCCCATTCGGGGCAAGTGCCCGCGTTGTGGGGGAGGAGGGCTTATCCTAGTAAAAGCTGCCCCATGAGGAGGGATGGTCACGTCCATTTTCCCGAAGTGTCGGTGGGGCAGGGGCCACCGGGGAACCATACAGTTTCAGCCGGTCCTCAGATACCTCATCAGACAACACTTCATTCTAGCACGATCCTGACTGACGAGGAAGCACGGACAGCCTGTCGTTCTCTCCTCTCTAGTTACAAAAACACAGCAGTCCTCAAGCTCAGGCGATCGTTGGAGCTAGAAATTAATCTTACTTTCCTCTCTTGGTGTTTATTTTAGTTCCCCCACCCCGCCCTTTCTGTAATGACCAGAGATGCTAGTTTCCCACTCAAGGGCAGTAGTAGAAAGCCCTCTTGAGAAATAAATTGATTTGGGGTGCCTGCCTGGCTCAGTCGGAAGAGCATGCGACTCGATCTCGGGGTTGTGAGTTTGAGCCCCATGTTAGGTGTAGGGGTTACTAAAAAAATAAGGTTACTTAAGTAAAAAAGTGAGCTGGTTTAAAGGGAAATGCATGGCACGCGTTTATGACAAAAAATGGACAGTGGTGTCCAAGTGAATGAGGTGGGGAACGTGGATGTGGCTAAGGCCTGGCATCCTGTCAGCGGATAACCATCGCCGGGATAATTGTGTCAGGACAAACCAGATTAATGCTGTGGCTGAACAGGTTTCACTCACCCATGCTATGTGTCCCCTGTGGATCGGTGGCGGTGGGGAGGGGGTGGGGCTGGAACTCGATCCACTAGAGAGGCCAGGCTTTCCTTTTTGAGTCTGTGCATCCTTCAGGTCACCTGAGTGAGGAAGCAGCTTCAACACCTTGCATTTCCCCGTCTCCCCCTTCAGGCAGAGCAGGACTCCGGCTCTGCCCTGGGGCGGGGGGACAATGCAAAGTTTTTGCTGCATTTTACTTACGGCAAACTTCCATTCATGGCAAGTGATACTGGTTGTCCACTCGCAGTCGTGCTTGAAAGGCTTAAGGGGTGTTGATTGAAATAGGTGGGTGAGGAGGGTCCTGGCGCAGGCGCTGGTGTCTCAGGCGGGCAGAAGGTGGCCATTCTGTGGAACCCAAGCCGGTGGCGGCATGCGGACACCTAACGTTGAAAAGATCCTGCTCTAGGAAAACGACCTAGGAACCCACTGTATAAAAAAAGATGAAGGTGGGGGCGCCAGGGGGGCTCCGTCGGTTCAGCGTCCGACTTCGGTTCAGGTCACAATCTCACGGTTTGTGGGTTCGAGCCCCGCGTCGG